AAAAATGAATGACACAAGGAAAATTAGGAAAGAAATCTAAGGAGACTTGGAATGAATTTGAATGTTGTAAACACTTCATTCTATACTTTTTTTCCCCTCAATTGAACCTTCCTCTAAATTTTATAATACATATTGTAATTTTATTATCGAATAAGGGATCCGATTACTAAAATAAAGCTTGAGCCACTAGTAGCTGAATTTCTTATTTGAAAATACATTATTTTCACATGTAATTTGCGCTTCTTATCTCGAAGACTATGTATTAACTTTATTAAAGAGCCGACAAAAAATAAAAACAAGTTGCTTTTGTTGGCAACAGTCAAAGAGTGGGTCTCATGATAATAAGCAACTCCAAAAGTCATACAAATGCATGCCGTTTTTACCTTTTTTTACTGTTAAATTCTAATCTTTACTTAATTAGGCAAAATTATATATTGGTCCATTTCTATATCCATAATACTTACAAACTTAAAAATGCTAAGTTCTACTTGTGCAATTTGATATTTTAAGTTTTGTGTGTGTGTTTGGACTTAATTTGGCATATCTATGAGAAAAGAAAACCGTATTACATGTTATTAATTGTTTGTTCCATGGTTATGGGACAGTTTAATCTGGTTGCATATGATTCGATATGATGAATAATTGAATATAATAAAGTATTTAATTTTTGGACCACAAACTGTTAAGAGATCAAACCTAACCGATTAAACCGACTACAATGGGAACTCAAAGAAAAAATTAACCCCAATCCGCCCTCAAATTACACATTGGTCTCCAATACCAAATTAATTGCGCCATTTATCACGGCGCCATTGTTAGTATAAAAACACCCCCACAACACACTCTTCGAACTCACCACTCTCCTCTCCTCCTCCACAAATGGCGACCACATTTCTGCCATTGATCCTTTTTGCTTTCCTCACTGTCTCTACTAACAATCGCTTCTTCTTCCTCATCCCAAAGAAACCCTGAATCAGTCGTGGAAGAAGTCAACCGGAGCATCAATGGCTCTCGGAGAAACTTGGGTTACCTCTCCTGCGGCACTGGCAACCCAATTGACGACTGCTGGAGGTGTGACCCGAACTGGGCCACCAATCGTCAAAGGCTAGCTGACTGCGCAATTGGGTTTGGAAAGGACGCCATCGGCGGGAAAAACGGACGGATATACGTCGTCACCGATCCCCGGAATGATAATCCGGTGAACCCGGTTCCGGGAACACTCAGATATGGCGTGATTCAAGATGAACCGTTGTGGATCATCTTTCAACGTGAAATGGTGATCCAATTACGTCAAGAGCTTGTGATGAACTCGTTCAAAACCATTGACGGAAGGGGTACCAATGTTCATATTGGTAATGGTCCATGCATCACCATACATGATGCTACTAACATCATCATCCATGGGATTCATATACATGACTGTGAGCAGGCCGGAAATGGCAACATCAGAAACTCACCACATCATTCCGGATGGTGGACTCAGTCCGATGGTGATGGGATTACCATAGAGTCAAGCAAACATATATGGATAGATCACTGTTCATTGTCTAATTGTCATGATGGACTCATTGATGTCATCCATGGATCCACAGCCATCACCATATCTAACAATTACATGACTCATCATGATAAAGTCATGTTGTTGGGACACAGTGATAGTTATACACAGGATAAACAGATGCAAGTTACCATTGCTTTTAATCATTTTGGTGAAGGTCTTGTTCAGAGAATGCCTAGGTACAACCATATAGTCAGTACAAGCACGTGATATATGCATGCATGATTTTAAATAAAGTTTTTGACTTTTTGAATAATGTCAAATATTCTTGTTGCAGATGTAGACATGGGTATTTCCATGTAGTGAACAATGACTACACCCATTGGGAAATGTATGCAATCGGAGGCAGTGCTTCGCCTACCATCTATAGCCAAGGCAATAGATTTACTGCACCCAATATCAGATTTAGAAAACAAGTATGGATACGGATACTTATAGTGATATTGATACTCATAACTCATATATTGATTGATACTAATGATGGATTAATGCAAATGCAGGTGACGAAGCATGAGAATGCAAAGGAAAGCGAATGGAAGAATTGGAATTGGAGATCGGAAGGGGATTTGATGTTGAATGGGGCATATTTCTTGGAGTCGGGAAAAGGTGCTGCTTCATCATATGCAAGAGCTTCAAGCTTAAGTGGCAGACCTTCTTCACTTGTGGGGGCGATGACTAGGACTGCCGGAGCACTTGCTTGCCGAAAAGGCTCTCAATGCTGATTGCTGATCATGGATGGGTTGTAGTTTTACATATGATGAACGCGATTTGACTTTCTTTGATGTTCTACGTTTTTCTTACTTATCTTGACTAAAAAGTCAACCTTTGTGCTTGGTTTTTCTTACTTATCAAGATGATGTTTTTTTTCATAGGAATTGAGAAATTAAGTGCGAAAGAGTTGAGCAAATGAATGTCTATCGTTTAGTTCTTTAGTTTCTTCAAGTATTTTGTACTGTTGGTTTTTTTTCTTTTGTTGAAAATATGTAAGCTATACTAAGATTTAAGCTTATGATTTATAAAATAAAATTACATTCCATTTAAGGAAACCTAGTCAAATAACATTATATCGAATGTCTTTTCTTAGATTTTTTAAATCATACATAAATATAAATATATAAAAATCTTAGCCAATTCAGAGTTTCATGTACTCTTATTTGGAAGTTATTATAAAATAAACCACTTGGGTTGTGATGACTTGGTAAGGCATGTGGAAGATATGATGGATAACTTATTGACCAATGTTCAAATCCTGGCACTACTCAGCCCTTATGGCCATGGAGGTTCGCCTGCAGTGACTCTAGGGCATGAAGCAAAGTCTCATGTTTGCAGCGGAGATTAGTCGGTGCGCGAAAGCTGGCCCGAAAATCCTCGTTAGGGAAGTTCCTTTTCCAAAAAAAGTTATTATAAAATAATAATAAGTAATCACTTATAATATAATGTGATTAATCTTGGAATTTGAAGCTAAAAATAGATTGACATATATATTGTTTAAATGTCTAAATTTAAGATATGATAATGTATTATATCAATATTTTTTCACAAAATACTTATTAACAAATCTGTTAAAATTAGATGATCAGTTTTGTTACAGATAGTATTAATTTGATATCTAAAACTGATTATTTAATCTTAAAGTTCAAACAATATAAAATTGATTAATGCAACTTTAAAACATAATAATTAAATACCCATAGATCCATAAACAAGCAACTCATGCATAAAAGTATGATCCAAATGTTACACTTTACACAGATCTAGCTACACTACTGTGATGATTGATCAACTTGCAAATAAAGGTGAAAACAGTTTTGAGTAGAAATATTTTTGATATTTTATTTTTTAGTTAAAAGACTTTGTTGTTATTTTCTAATTTTGTAATAGGAGGAAAGGAATTAATGAAGGAGTGGGCTTATCGGGCCGTCAATCATGGGGTGGGTCCATGAGGCCACGAGATTTCAACATTAATAATTAAGGCGCATGGATTTGGAATTGGAAATGGAAATGGAAAGTACACTCCATTCATATGATATTCTCTTTGCTTTTATTCTACTGGATATAAATAATTGCTTTTTGCCTTTTCATATCTACATCTTCCGTTTCCGTTATGAAAAATAAATAATTTAATATTTGTTTAGTAAAATAGTTTATTTAATCATTAAAAATTTCTATCGCTTATTAAAAAAACACAATCAAATTACCAAATTTTGATTATCAAGATTAAAAAATCAAGGGAATTATTATATTTTCTTTATTATTTTTCAAAAGCCATACTTAGTTTAGAATAATAACAATACATTTACCTTCTAAAATATCCTATCAAAATGGGTTTCCTTTTCAATTTTCCAAATTTATTAAATAAAATCAACCAACTTTTTTTTTAATTATGCAATAAATTTCAGCCTTACTTTTCCCCCCTTCTTTTTAAAGACCTTTTTCTAAATTTTACTTATTCACCTATAGAATTACTAAGTTATTTCCAAGTTTTCCATCTTAACAAGAGGTAAAGAGACATCGGCAATAGACTTAGGAGTGAATATGGTGTGGTTTAATGTTGATTTTTACCTAAATTGAATTGCAAACCACGGATATTGGTTTCTTGATTTTCAAAAACGAAGCCGCACAAAACCTATCGGTTGCAGTTTGTTGGTTTTGGGTTTTAACCAACGTTGTTTGGTTTTTTTAAACTCAAACCACAACTATAAAGTTTTATACTAAAAAAAAGGAGTTTTGGTCTCCCAAATTAATATGGAATTCAACTCTAAATCTTAAGGTTTGTAGGACGTTATTGGAACTTTACAGATGAAGAAACTAAATGATTTTATATCCCTCAATCGATGTGAGATTAGATGTAATGTAGTTTAAAAGGTCTGCAAATAAATCAATACATTTACGACTAGAGAGGAAATAAATTTATAACCATAGAGGAAGAATGATTTTTACTATATCAACGGATGTGGGATGAATAAACCACAACAACTAAAAATCTAGTAAAATAGGAATCTTCAATTCATATGTTTACCACCTTAACCAACTCACCATGCTACTAATATGCTATGGAATTACACAAATTTGTATATAATATATGTAAATTAAATTATTTATAAGTAGTTTATACAAATCGGTGTCATTCGATTTTTTGTGGGTTTCTAATTCCTAAAACTAAAATCGAATCGAATATTTTGGATTTTGAAAAGTAGGAAACAAACCATCGATTTTATGTTCGGTTTCAGTTTTTCGGTCTCAATTTTTGTCGCGGTTTTTTGGTTTGTGGTTCGATTTTTGTTCACTCATAGTTTCGATTTTTTGTCATATCATAACAACAATAATAAAATGATGTTGTGAAAATTTTAATTGTATTCATATTACCAAGGTCGTATGATAAATGGCATTACAAAAATAGGTTCGATTTGACTCGTATCAAATCCTCTACCACTATCATAATCTAGAAAAGAAAAAAACTTGCAATTGCAGCAACAGCACTAGCGGCAGATAACTTCGAGCTAGTGGATGCACCATCTTCAACATCATCATCCAACGATTCTTCTAATGTCGGTTGATCACCATAATCATCTGAGTCCGATAGTGGTGAATCGTCTCCCGGCGAAGCAGTAGAATCCGGCGAAGACGGGCTAGCGGCTGACCCGTCAGAAGGGCTAGGCGATGAGATGTCACCGTTTGATGGGGAGGAGGAAGGAGTGGAGAAAGAGGGGGATAGCGAAGATGAAGGTGATAAACTTGGAGATTTAGTTTTTCGATGGTTGGTTGGCGATGGTGACGAGGCCTTGCCGGAGCCGTGCGGTGATGGAGCCACCTTCGGGGTGGGACTTGGTGTTGGGGCGGCGGTGATGAGGCTGAGAAGGGCGGTGAAGATGATAGCAAGGACAACCAATTGGCGTGTCATGTTGGATTATTTGTACTTATTGAAATGATTTGACTAAAAATGCATTGATCTACATTTACATACGAGATAATATGTTGCTTATTTGAAAATTGAAAGGTGGGCGAAGTTTGTTTGAAGTTTTTATACCGTTGAAACAAAGAGAAAGAAAGACGAAGAGATTGTGAGGTGTGGATATAACTTAGGAGAGAATTATGGGGTTCTTGTTTTACCGATTCAAACTACTCTCAAAAAAGGAAAATAACAAATTTTGTTTCACACCTTAAAACCCATCAACTTTCAAAAATCGGTCTATTAACCACCAACTATTGGGATCATGTATATGGTTCTAAGTATGGTCTATGGCCAAGCATTTATAATGCGTTTGTTAGGCATGAATGGAGTTAGATAAGACTTGTTAGATCCTGTTATGTTTTGTCTAGTCCTCTCCTCCATAACAAAACGGTGGCTTAACAATTTTGTTTGTCTTCTATACAATACAAGAAACTAGGTTCATGGCTGCTTGCTAAATCCTTTTAAATCTACATGTCTAGGACAAAAACCTCATTCGCCAAAAGTACATGACTCTCATTTCGTTTGTCAGATTTCATGGGATTTAACCGGAATGGAATTCCATTGCATTCCAATCATTACATCTGGTTGCAAATGAGTAAGTAATTGAAGTCTGTTGGAATTATACAAAATCCTATGACCAATGGATTTTAACATTCCATCTTATTCTTAAAACCCACAGAATTCATTTGCATGCATTTTCTCTTAATTAAAAATACTTGTATACCCATATAACCCTAGAATTTTGCAAGTAAACACCCATTCAATTTCCTCCCAACCAAACACGGGGCATGACATAATCCAATTCCTTCATATTCCAAATTCTTCAAATTTCAATAATTCAATTACTTTGACAGAATCCACTTCCTTCCAAAACAATCTGTGAACCAAACCTCCCCATGAAACTTTTAGGAACTATATGTAGCTTATCAATGCCAGTCTACCAAACTATTATTTGTAGCACATATACTCAAATTTGTAGCACATATACTCAAACAACAAAAGCAATTTTGGTTAATCCAACCACAGATCATTGCCTAAAAGCTCAAATCTATCATCTCTAGCATCCAGAAAATGGAATTAACTTATAGATTGCATTTAAAGGGCGCCTTAGATGCAGAACAAAAACATATATAGAACAACAAGATCCAGCAAGATAATATCAGTAGGCATAGTTTGGCTATACATGGAATTGAGGGCTCATCAAACATGATAGACGACAGTAAGTTCAATTCATATCAAATTACTCCTGAAACCTCCAAAATTCAAAACACAAAGATACCATTTTAACTGATATTGATGTTTGAACTCACAGCCTAAGGCTAAGGGTTGTAGAGATACCATTGGATCAAAGACCACGTGGTCGATACAAATCTGAATTATTAAGCACTTTCAATTCGAGAAATGAAATAAAATTAGGTCATGAAAATTGGTATTTCCGGAAAGTGAAATCAAAAGAGGGGATGTTACAGAAATTAAGGTAGATTTTTCTCTTGAATCAATAAGAAATCCAGCAAAAAACGATAACCTAACATTCTCACCAGATTGAAGAAAAGAAACTATGTTTTCCTCCGCAGACGCTTCCTCAGCTTCTTCAATTTGTGCTTGTTCATCTTCTTCTTTCTCTTCTTCTTCACACTATCAGCCCAAATCCCTCGTTCATCATCGCCCGAAACAATGTCTTCTTCAGGTACAACATGTTGAATAAACCCAAGTTGAGAAATTGGATTCAAAAAACTCTCAAACGCAAAAGTCGGGTAGAAAGCTGAAAGATGAGGAGGATTAAGATTTGATTCATCAGTAGTTTTGGGTAGGCCATTGAAGAAGGGGATCGGAGCGACGGTTGGTCCCGGTTTGGGATCGAGTAAATGGGACGACGGGGAGAGAATTCGTCTGTTTAGATTGGTAATCAGGCTTGTACTGGATTGCTTTTTTCTAACAAGCTTTTGAAGAAAGGAAGCCATTGATGAGAGGTAGAAGATGAAAACATAAGTTTACAAAGGATCCATCCCGGTATTGTTTGTGATTTGCTCTTTAGGGTTTTAGTGAGTTTTAAATTGGATACTCAAAAACAAAAAAGATAAAGGTTGGAGAAAAAGTAAATAAAATCAAATGCCCCCATGCAGGATCGAACTACAGACCTCCAGTTTACAAGACTGGCGCTCTACCACTGAGCTATAGGGGCTTTGACGTTGAATAAACCACCACCCGATTTGAAATATGCTTTTCTACAACAGATTTATAAAGACTTGTCCATTTAAAGTACCAATTTCTGTTTATTAAATTAAACAAACCAGGGAAGATCGGAGATAAACTACTAAGAAAAAACTGACTATCCAAGTCAATAAATTTGGTCATCCAAGATGTGGTGATGTTAGAGTTATCATCACAAAAGATTATTAAAAAGTATGTGATATTTGAGCCCAAAATCAATTTTCAATAAACAAAAATAAGCATCATGTGAATATAATCGTTGAGACAGGTTCACAGTGATTTTTTTAATGGAAATCTCATGTTTTTATTTTTGATTTCTTTTATCGGAAACTTTAATCGATCTCTTTAAAAGAAGAGTTTTGTTTGTGTTGATAGACTTATCATGTAAACATTGAATATTGTGATAAAAAAAAATGACTAAATTTACTTTCTTTATATTATAATAACTATAGGTTACAACCCATAGGTAAAATATTTTTAATATTTTATCTTTATTAAATTAATAAGATTAAAGTTGTTTTTTTAACTTTTGTATTATTTTTTAAGATTAATATATTTATTTATTTGAATATCCGAAAATAAAAACATTTAATATAGTTATGATTTATAAAGCAAAATATAAATTTGAATAAAGTGTAAACAAAAACACAATTAATAATGAAAATAACATTGATATAAAAAAAATAAAATATAACTCAAATGCAATAAAAATAAATAAACACAACTCATTAAATTTGTTGTTTTACTAAAATACAAACACCATAGAAAATGCAGTGGATTTCTATTTTCATTGTTCATTCTTCCATGCTTTTACTTTTTTGTTTAAATTAAAAAAATATTAAAAAAAACTAAAAACCATTAAAAAAAATGATAAAAAAGTTATGCACCCTATTTTCACCTTTATTTCTCTTTTATTGCCCCGTATATGTTTCTCCCTGAACTCCATATTTGCCAACTCCAAGCTATATGAATTTTATGTAATGTTAGAATTTATATAATACTTCAAGGAGGTTACATCTTCCAAAGCACAACCAAGTTTAAATCTTAATAACCATAATGCATCTTTTTTGGATCATGTAGCATTCCGTTTGAAAATAAATAAATAAAATTAAGTAAAATAAGTAAATAAATGATAAACCCTAAAACCCCGATATGTAAATGATATTTTTATATTATTTTATCGTAGCCATAAATCCATAACAATTTATTAGTGTTAGCCATGGGAGTTAAATGTTATAATTTTGGGAATTTGGAGTCTAAATTGTATCAATTGGACTTATATTGAATAATTTTTGGAAGCAGGGGCTAAAGGGTAAAATCTGGATTTGGATTGTAATGATTTGAGAAGGAGGGGCCGAATGTGTCAAATGGAATGAAGTTTTAAAATGGATTCGGGGTTTAAGATCGTCACTTCCCTTCCCCTCGTCGCATACCCCGAAACCCTAACCCTAAACTATTTTAGTCGCCACCTCTACCACCCTTGTCCTTCCAGCCGTCGCCACTGCTGTCGAAGTCAGGAACCACCAGGTCGTGTATCGATGTTGTCGTTTCCGTTGTTGCTGAGGACAAAGACCGACGATTGGACGTCGTTTCGGTCGGGAGTTCGGAAAACCAAGTCGTGGTCGTCGCCGCTGCTATCAACGAAGGCGAAGAACGCGTCTGGGGCCGCCTTTGTCCGCTCCGGTATCGACGCAAAATGCTTTCCTTCCACCCTCTCCGTTCTACCGTCACTTTTTCGTATGCATCGCCATCGCCTCTTCAGCGGCTGTTCCGTCCTGTTGTCGTCCTCCGACTGCCACACGTCACCTCGAGGATGGCTGAGTTGGGTGTGTATTTCAGCATTGCATCTCATGTTCGTGTTCGTGTTTGTGTGTTGCTGTTGCAAGCCGTGTGTGGGTGTTTGTATGTCCGGAAAGCGTGACGGACCACCATGGCAGCCAACCATGGTGGCTGTCGCCCTTATTGTCATTTTCTACCGTCACCAACCACAGTGAGAGGTGGTTGTGTGTGTGTTATGGTGTTTATGTGTGTTTTTAATGGAATGAGATTGTATGAGCATTTCTTGGCTGTAAAATTGAAGGAAACCCACCACCACCACCACTAAAAATGGTGGTTGCTGCCTCCTGCCGCCATGTACCACCACCGACCACCACTGCCCAAAACAGTGGGTGGTGCCCGACCTATTAAGCACTAAATTATCTAAACAATTAACTTTAATCCGAGTGGCACGAGTTTGGGGTTGGAAACCCTAATTAGGGTTTAGAAAACCCTAACGTAAGAATCCCTAGTTTTTGGGAGTTGGTCGGGACCCGTGTTAATAGTGCCCTTACAATTAACTTAATGCATTTTGGGCTTAATGGGTTAAGTGTTCTTACTTAACCCTAACCGTCTTTTTATGTGAAAACCCTAATCATGTTTGGGCTTCGAGTTGGGCCTTTCTTTTAGGCTTAGGTGTTTGAGTTTTTGTTGGGCCATCTGAGAACAAGTGTATGGATTAGGAAAATTAGATGGGCTTTAGGGTAATGCCCATGTAAGGGGTTTGGGCCCAATTTGGAAAATTGGGCCATAATTGGGCCTTGGTTGACCATTTGACTTTTGGGCCTCCAGAATGTGAGTTTGGGCCTTGGTCTTGGACCAAGCTAGGTTAGGGGTGAAATAGTCTTTTTACCCGAAGTATAGATTTATGATTATGCATTGGAACCAAATTGTTAATTGGTTTTGTTTTGATGTTGATAGTTCGGGGATCTGTCAGCCAACAGCCAAGGGTTTTCTGTATGATTCAGCAATGTGAGGCGAGTCTTCTCACTATATCCATGGGTCAAAGGCACCATGCCGGCCCATTACTTGTTATGTGGAATTCTAGTTGTCTTTGTAATACTTGCATGGAAGACCATGGGGGAGCCCATGACAATTGAATATAAAACCATGGGGGAGTCCATGGCATTTGGATATAAGACCATGGAGGAGCCAATGGCACTTGGATATCAGACCATGGGGGATCCCATGACATTCCTGGTAAAGACCATGGGGGGAGTCGATGGCAACTATATGTATGTCGCATGATATTCTGTAGATTATATTTTGTGGATGATATTTTGTGGTTGTATGCTATGTGATATTTTGGGGAACTCACTAAGCTTTGTGCTTACGGTTTTCAGTTTATGTTTCAGGTACTTCGGTTTTCAAAAGGAAGAGCTCGGCTTGATCACAACGTATACACCCATGTTTTCCACAATTCGTGATTTTGGGAATGTACTCTGATAACTGTTTTACCCTTATATATTTTTAAATGTTTTAATAAATAATGAATTAGTGTTTTGTATATAATAAAAATGAAATTTTTACCCTCGCATTTTGGGATGTTACAAATCAATGAAATATCGATAGAATATTATTTATTAAAAATTAAAAATCAAGCTGATTAAAGTATACTTTGAAAACCAAAATCAAACATTGGCAACCAAAATCAAGTAACTAAGAGTATAAACTTCTTTAACTAAACTACAGTATGATGATAAACGAAGAAAGTTGAACATAATATATGGTGATTCCCTTCGATTTCCTCTTACATTACTGTTAGAGCTTGCAAACAAAGCATATCATGTTCGTCATTTTATTTAAAATTGGTTACCAGTTAGTCATCAATTTTCAATCATATACAAACGTGCTTACCACACAATCAATGTTGGTAAATAAACAAAAGTACATTTTTATTTCAGAGGGATGCAATAAAAAATATAAAGAAGGTCATAGTCACATACATAACACATCGTTATTTATCCTTGAAGCATTTAAGAGTTCTTGATGCTCGGTCACAACATTGGCCTTGTTCTTATCGAATAATAACTCACTTTGATATGTTTCCTAAGATTGTAAGTTAATTAAAAAGATAATATTGATTTCAGATGCAACGAATAATCAAAGATATATATCGTGTTTTCACTTTGATGTTTCAGGAGGATGGACCAAAAAGGTAAATTTTAGAGGTGCAAAAAAATTGAAACCGAACCAAAAAATCAAACAATTTTAAAAATCCAACAGTTTTGGTTTTTCAAAAAAACTAATTTTTATGCTATGTTTGATTTCCGGTATATAATGGCAACTTACTTAAGTTCGTTACCTATAATAGCAACATATTACAGTGAACTCCATACATGTGTAAAACATATCACATCTGGTACTATTAGTTTCAATGTTAATGTTGCCAGAACAACATCAAGAAAAAAATTTAATGAAAAAAATGAAAAGGTAATCATACCATAGTTTTGTTGTACCATGGTTTCTAAGGGATGTGGAACTCATGTACTATGTAAGCATCTGATAACTTCATGAAAGTCATTTCTCTAATATGAATGGTACTTCTATGTTAAAAGCAGTATCAAAAAACAAAAGAGCAAAACGTAAAAACTTATTCATCCACTTAATGCAGTCTTGAAACATATTTGCATACATTACCTTCTACATCCCATAATCATGAAATACATCGGTCATTAAAGAGAGAGCTTGAGGCATAACTTCATGAAACACGAATTCTTTCAATTATGTTGTAGAAGTTTCTAGCTCCTATTGAAGAAACGACTTCCATATTGATCCGAATTTTTCAAAGAAAGTTTCGGTTCTACTAATTAGGTATTTTTTTTATCAAAAACATTGTTAGACAACAATGTAATGATATAAACATGAATTAAGCAACATGCCCGAAACCAAACTCAGCTTTCATTGTTCAATAGTAACATCCGACAATTTGAAC